TCCCTGAGGTGGCTTATGAGGTTCATTGACATTTCTACATGCTGATGATTGCTCGAATACAAAATACAATAGTTTCATCATGGTTTAAAATGTCCTGTATAATGAATAAACTGCTATAAAACAATATGAATTTCATTGTAAAGTCTTTAATTCCTGAAATTTCACTTGATTTATACATTATTATTTGGGAGCAAACTGGCTGAGGTCACGTAAGATAGCCATTTATATAGCCATATTGGGCCCCCAGCATTTGGTTCCTCGCTTCGATCAGAACAATTGTTTCCCCCACCATAATATCACGGACCCACATTGGGCAGATCCTGTAGAGCCCACAAATGTAAAAATCTACCACAAATGTAAAAATAACCACAAATGTCAAAACATTCTACCCGCAAATGTCAAAATAACCGCAAATGTCATAACATGTCAACCACAAATGTAAAAATAACCACAAATGTAAAAAAAATCGCCCATAAATGTAAAAATCTGTTTAACCACAAATGTAGTATCATTTCACCTACAAATGTAAAAATTTCCATTTTTACCTCAAATGTCATAACATGTCAACCGCAAGTGTAAAAATTTTCCTTAGCACTTAAATCCTTTCAATATTCAAAGACCCTAACTAACTGCTATAGTAGAGCAGCGCGGCACCAAGTTGCGCATTTAGATAGGGCCCATCCAATGATAAACTGCCATTTTTTCCGGTCAAGGTTTTCTCGGCGGTTTTATCATCTTGACCCCATACTATTTGAAATAAACTTGCGGCCACCCAGATTTGTACCTCAAATCCAAGATGGCCTCCAAAATTCAAAATGGCCGCCAAAATTAAAATTATTAGAGATATACAGCATATTTTTTTGGTGTTGTTAACTTTTTTTAAGTGGAATTGTCACCTCAGACCTAAGCCTTTCAAGATCAATCAAGGACCACCATGAATTCAAATCCAAGATGGTCGCCAAAATCCAAAATGGCCACCGAAAATCACAATTATTAGAGAGATGTAGCATATTATTTGGTTATGTCAGTGTTTTTTCAGTTGATTTGTCACCTGGTACATAAACCATTCAAGATCAATCGAGGGCCACACAGAAATTGGCCTCAATCTAAAATGGCCACCAAAATTCAAAATGGCTGCAAAAAATACAATAATTCCAGATTTGCAGCTTATTTATTGGTTCCAAATATCGATGTTTTTTCAGGGGATTTGTCATCTGGGACATAAACCTTTCATGGTCAATCGAGGGCCACCCAGAATTTGGTCTTAAATCCAAGACGGCCGCCAAAATCCAAAATGTCCGCCAGAATTAACTTAAATCGGTAAATTCTGCCTATTATTTTCCCCTGTTAACGTTTTTAACGTGTATTTTTCCTGAAACCAACCCAAAAGTTGACTTCATTTCCAAGATATATATATGTATATGTATATATATATATACATATATATATATATATGTATATGTTTCTTGAACTGAAATCCTTGATAATAGAACATACAATGCATTTTATTAAAAATACACAAAAGATTTAATGGAAGTCATGTTTCGGGTTACCTTTAACCCATCATCAGTTAACAAAAAAACACAACAGAAATGAACCAAATACTTTTCATGTAGACTATATATATAGGTAATTACTATGCTGAATATTAAATAGATAGACTGATTTGTTTGACAATAAGTTTGACCAACTATAGTCTGAAATCTGGACTAAATGTAGCTAATAATTATTCTGAATATATAATTGAATACCATGATTTGTTTAACCAAAGGTTAGTAAAGCTCTAGTAAGTCTGTAATATGGACCAAGTGTAGCTAATTATTATGTTGAATATATAATCAGGTACATTGATTTGTTTGACACAAGGTTGTGAAGCTATAGTTAAATGCAAGGTAACAAGCGCTTGCATAATAACTATTGCTTACGTGTATATTTAAATAAGCTTTAAGTTAACATGTTTAATTTGCAAATTAAGATCAGGATTGTTCAATTTTATGTAAATGGATTCATTGATTTTCAATTTGATTTCATTGTTATCAATATCCAGTATAGAGAAACATTTCTTATCAGACAACCTTTTACATTTACTGTTTGCGTTAAGGTGTTTAAGTACGTGTGAATTTTTATCCTTTCCAAGATGTTCACCAATCCTCGTAATTAATCTACGGCCTGTATAGCCTATATAACTGGAATTATATCGAGCACATTTAAATTTATATACTACTGAGGATCGGGATTCATTGGGGATAGTATCTTTAGTACTAAAGAACTGACTGATTTTAGTGGTACTAAATATCACATGTACTTTACAATCAATACAGTATTTTTTGACAAGATCCATAATTCTGCATTTCATGTTGTCAGAAAATATGCCAATATATGGAAGTTTAACAAAAAGTGTTTTAACATTGTCATCATTGACGGTTTTCTTTGTAATATCAGAGATTGTGTTATCTAAATAGTTTTCAATAGACTTGTCAACAATGTGAATTGGGTAACCATTTCGTAGTAAGATATTTTTCAGGTCACAAAGATCATTATGTAGGCCGAGCCACGTGTTATTTAGCTTAAAAATTCTATGTTGTCTGTGTTGACTAATCTTAATTTGTAATTAAAAGGACAGTAGCTAACAAGACCTAATAATAGACCACTGAAGGTGGATTTTCTGAAAACAGATGTTTTCAATTTATCATCCTGTTTATGTATGAGTACATCCAAAAAACTTAGTCTGTTGTTCTCTTTTTCCATTGTAAACTTCATAGAAATATGTCTATTGTTTATGAAATTAAAAACTTGTCAGCTTCATTTTGATTATTAAACACACAAAACGTGTCGTCTACATATCTACGATAATAAAGTACATCAGGACATTTGCAATCATTGAGCCATTGTTTCTCTTGGAATCCCATAAATAAGTTTGCTAAAATAGGGGCCAAGGGAGAACCCATACTACCTCCATCAATTTGTTCATAGTATGTATCTTTAAACAAAAAATGAGTGCCTGAAGTAGCAATGGTCAATAATGTGATTAAGTTATTCTTGGTGATTTTTAATTCATTGTTATGACTATAAATTGAGTTAGCAATCGTTTCTTTGAGAGGAATATTGGTGAATAAACTTTCAACGTCAAAAGAAACCATGACTTTATTTTTTAAGTTAAGGTTGCGAATCTCGTTAACAAAACTAAAAGAATATTTCGAACTATACTCAAGTGAGACACAAGGTCTAATAAGTTCACTTAAATACTTAGACAAATTGTAGTCGTAAGTACTAATTGAAGAAACTATGGGTCTTAGCGGGGGTGATCCATCAGGTTTCTGTTTTTATGCATTTTTGGGAGGCCATAAATTCTTGCTGGATATGAACCTTTGGGATAGATATTATTGTAAACATCATCTGTAATTTAGTTTTCCTTTTTTAATTTTCGTAATAGCCTCTTTAGACTTTCTTCTTTCTTTATTGTAGGATCATCATGGAGAATACTGAATTTTGATTTATCATTAATGATCTCAAGCATGCTTTTGTCATATGTTTCCCTATCCATAATAATTACTCCGTTGCCTTTGTCAGGCTTAGTAATGATAATGTTCTTATTTTTACGAAGTTGTTTGATAACCCTGATTTTTCCTAAGTCCTTGGTTGATGGTGTGAACGAGTTGTAATAAGACTGTGCCATTGCTGATAGATGTGATCTGATTTCCGGAACTTTCTCGTGATCCACAAGGTGTTTATTGATGTTATAATTCAAGGATTCAAAACTTGCATATATATCAGCTTTGTTTATCCTTTGTGGAACAATTGAATGTCCTAGACCATCTTTGAGCAAGTCCAATTGTTCTTTGGAAAACGTAACAGAAGAGATGTTGGTGACAGTATCAGTTTTATTGAAGGGTAGTGAGGAGTTCCCCGTAAGTTTTCTCAATTTCTGTTCATGTTTTAGTAAAACCTTGGAAATATAACGATCCACATTGTATATTAATGCCTTTTTTTAAGATATAAAACTGGACAGCGTATTTGTTCACTTACTTTGTTGGAAATTTCCTTTAGTTCAGCTTTCA